CCCCGACTGTAAGCACGGCGAGCACGATTGGCCAATGGCAGGCCCATAAACAGCCGTATCCCATAGCGACCGGAATTGAGAAAAGTTTCTTTGCACCAGCGAAGGTTTTAAAACGTGAAACTTCACAGTTTTTTAAGATTTTTTAGTGCGTTGCGTATTTTAACCGTGGCCCTGCTAGCTGAATAACGCAATTTAGTTTGCAATTCCAACGACTTCAAATTAACCATAATTTGTTTTGAACTGAAAAATAAATTACTCACTATTGTCTTTCCTCTCCTCAACAAAAATCTCCAACGAGCCCCTTAAAGTGGGCAGGGATATTGGAAGTGGTTCGTGAAGATTCGCCCGATTAGTCTGGTTCAGTTCCTTAGCTTTGGTCAGTTGCTTGATCCGCTCCATGGTGAAGACATCGTCCGATATAACCAGATGGCGCTGCAGAGTGGTGAATGCCTGCAACCCGAGATACATTGGGGAAATTTTGAATTTTTCCCGCCGCCTGAATGCTTACGTGGTACGAAAAATCCTCCATGAAAAGTTTCTTAATTGCCGAGGGCATCATTACTCGGGCGGTTTGCCAGGCTTTATTACTGGGAATAAAGTAAGTGAACTTCTTGTTGGTTGCGTTCAGTTGGGCGTTAAACTGCTGCGCCTGGCCCAGTTCGTAGCTTTTTCTGCAACAGCAACCATCAATCATTTTTCGTGGTCCGCAAACTGCTCGAATTTTCTTTTAAATCGAACCCAATGGCCAGAACTTATAATTGACTGATTGTTGGGTAATCGAAGAGGAAAAACCCAGTAAGATTTGATCAAAGCGCGCTTCTTGGGTAAGGAATTGAAGTGGTTTGAAAACGCCCCCATTATGCGGCCGTTCCTCCACTAATCCTGTTTACTTAATTATTTTTCGACGTTGCATCGCATCGGCCTGCAGGATTGAGGCTGGCCTTTGTTCTCACTTTTAATCAATTTTTGTTGCTATGCTTTCATCGTGCCTTGGTGCCTTTCTAATTCGTTCGGGCTCTATTTTTAGCGCTTGGACTGCGGGATTAATTTACCTGCGAAAATCCGCAGTTTTCTAAAGAGTTGGAGCAACAGCTTGAATTGACGTCACTGGGGAAAAATGCGAAATAAATTGTCTGAGTTCTAAAACAGCACTGCGACGGTTCGGATCAACAGCGAAAATTGCAGGGCACATTTGTTGCTAAGTTTGTAAGTGAAAAATACTGGGCTTGTGTCGTTTCAGACCTAGTTTTTCTTCTGTTTAAGGAATTTTAGTCAACTTTTTCCTCTAGCATTTTATGGTTTACTTAAATCGCTCAAATGGTTCTCGAGTTTTGGGCTAAAATAGAGCGTCCTGTTTGACTCGATTTTCGACCCAAACCAACCGCAGTTAAAACCTGTTTTATCTCAATTGCCTGGAAATTAGCACTATTTGCTTGTTGATGTTTTACAACATTTATTAATCGAGTGATGTAGAAACGAGCTCGATCGCCCCATTAGTTCTTGAGATTTGACCGAAAATTTGCAGATTGCGGAAAAAACAGCCTTTGAATTTCAGGGTTTTGTGTCGAAACTACAGCGCCAGTTTTCTGGTGTTTCCCTGCCTAAATGAGCGTATTAATTCTTTTTTTTTACAAACTTCTTGTTGGGTATTTTTGGGTATTTCGCCTTAAAAATTTTTGTCTTTAAAAAAGACAGAATTTCCTCACGTCTTCTATTACAGATTGATAA